GTATTGTAGTCCTAGGTTCTGTCAATGATTCTCAGGTACTTCACATTACTTATTCTATTATCGGTTATACTTTTCTAGGTTTTTGTTAAATGTTTTGGTTAATCATTGTACCTTTATTTTTTTTCATTTTGAAGAAAATAGATGTTACTTTGAATCATTAGTTTTCTCTATAGGCATATATTTTATTGCATTATATTGTCTCTTTATAAGTCCAATTTTCTTCTAGTTGCGATGTAGAATTTTTGAGTTATTTTCATCTTAATTACTAAACATTTCGTTCTTGTCTTAGGTTTAATGTCCTTAATTATGTTAGAATTGATGTTTGTAAACTGTTTTACTTCTTAATTCTTTTGCAATATTTCCCCTTATTAATAGAGATAACATTTTCTCTAATATTGTTTGGAAAGTGTTTACATCCTTTTATCACATAGCTTAAGCCTGGTCCTCATGTTAATTTATTTGAGGATTAATGTACACCTGTCTCTTATACACATCTAGATGTGTATAAGAGACAGATGTTTCTCTTGACGCAAATCCAGTTATTGTCTATTATCCATCACGACAATAACAATACAATCTTGAATATGCTGCATTACTTACTGGAACTGCAATACAATAAATCTTTCCGCAGTGTCAATAAAATTTTAACAATTGACCAAAAAGAATGTGTTATTTTATAGACAGTAATACTCGCATGTCCGCAAACACGCAAGTTTACATTTATTTACTCTGTTTTAAAGGCCACATACCTTATCAGTAATATTCAAGGGGCGGGCGGGGCGCATTATTTTTTCCCCATACTGTACGCTGCAGGCAGAAATTACAGAGGGCGCTATTTTAGGTCATGCGTAATGGTAACCGGACCTCCACCTCAGGAAACAGAGTTTAGTGGTGTATAGTAAGCTACAGTATTTTTCATGGATGAACACTATAGAGTATGGACGAAATCTGTCAAATAGGCCTTAGTAGTTAAGACAGTATGAAAATTAATAGACTATAATAGACCTTGCCGGAGTGTCAATCAAACTTAACAACTGACTAATCAGAACAGCGCTAGGAATACGCGCGCCTCTCACAAACATACGTGTTTGTCCCACAAACGCACGTGCTCGCTATGTTTTAACCATAGAGATAATAATAAGAATAATTGTTTAATAGCTCTATGGTTTTAACACTGTCGCCTTGTGGGACCTTAGCAACAATATCCAAGGGGCGGGGCTTAGCGGAAAGGCTCATTGTAATAATATCTTTAAGACTAGACACAGTTTATGAGAAAATTAATGGACTATTGTAATAATATCCCTATGACTAGACACAGTTTATGTACAGCATGGTCTTTCAAAGTATAAAAAAGCAGAGTAATATTGAATCTGGCATTTTGAGTAGGCCTACATCTTAGATATGAGAATGTTGTATCAATTGTATGCCCCTATTAGTACTGATTTTGAACGATATAAACGTTTAAAAATAGACAAATTACGATACTTTGGAAACGGTTCCTAAATTACAATTTTGTCAATTAACAGACAGTGAACGTATTTGCTGTATGTTTTTACATGACTCATTGTCTGGTAACTTAAGAATTTCTTTTTTCTGTTAATTAAGTGAATGTTTGTTTTTAGTTTTTTTTTACTTCCATCTGATTTCGATCGTTTTAAATAAGCTATTCCGTCATTTTCTTTAATTGGGTAGACAGCATTTGATATAAACAGTACGACACTCCATGGAATATCATCAGATTTGGTATAATCAATGTTTATTGCTATCTATGCCTATTACTTTTATTTATATTGAATATGAACGAAATGTTTGTGAGAAATCAACAATACTGTACATAGAATTTTGTTTTAAAACAATTCCCTGGTACAGTATATTGTTTCTATGTATGCCACACTGTACGGTACTTTACATTACTGCATTATAACCGACCAGATTCAACGCTGCTTTTTATACAACTTTTAAAGACCATAAGTAAACAGTGTCTAGGCATAGGGATATTATAATTACAATACTAAACTAAACATTAGTCCATTAATTACGGTCGACTGCACACTGTCTCGACCAACTACCAAGAGGTTTTGGCCTACTTACTACAGTAAACATACACGGTACCTTTCACATCACAGGCAATTTCATATTCCACAAGCAGCGAACAATTTCGCGACTCACGAGGGGAAGCCGGCATGCATATCAGTGCACCCATGGAGGAATAAGTTTAAGTTTCTAAATTTATTCCTCCATGGTTCACCTAACTAACCTAAAATAGTTCCCTCTGTAATTTCTGCCTTAAGTGTATGGGAAAAAATAATGCGGGCAGGGCGTTGTTAGTGTCCATTGTATTGTAGTCCTAGGTTCTGTCAATGATTCTCAGGTACTTCACATTACTTATTCTATTATCGGTTATACTTTTCTAGGTTTTTGTTAAATGTTTTGGTTAATCATTGTACCTTTATTTTTTTTCATTTTGAAGAAAATAGATGTTACTTTGAATCATTAGTTTTCTCTATAGGCATATATTTTATTGCATTATATTGTCTCTTTATAAGTCCAATTTTCTTCTAGTTGCGATGTAGAATTTTTGAGTTATTTTCATCTTAATTACTAAACATTTCGTTCTTGTCTTAGGTTTAATGTCCTTAATTATGTTAGAATTGATGTTTGTAAACTGTTTTACTTCTTAATTCTTTTGCAATATTTCCCCTTATTAATAGAGATAACATTTTCTCTAATATTGTTTGGAAAGTGTTTACATCCTTTTATCACATAGCTTAAGCCTGGTCCTCATGTTAATTTATTTGAGGATTAATGTACACTTGTGAATGTATTACTAAATGTATTATTCTATTGTATTTTGTATTGTTAGTAGTTAGGTCATTTTAAGCAATTGTCGATGATTTGCTAATGGCTAGAATTGGATATAAATAAAATAAATTGAATAAATAATCTGAAACAACATTTTATGCCTATTTTTTTGCAAGCTTTACAACAAACATGACAGTATAAACATCATCTGTCCACTTTATGTATAACCATTCGGACTTAAATACAATAGAGTACTATACACAACCAACAATATTACCAATCTATGCTTATTAGTCGGGTTTTTTTTTTTTTTTTTAAAGATAATGAGTAAGCCAAGAAAGGCAGTTGAAGTTTAGGGGCCCTCCCTTTAGGGAGCTTTGGATTCAAGACGACGGTAGGACCAGTGGTGGCGCCAGGCCTGTCCGACGGAGGGGCTAAAAGCCCCGACGGGAGGGCTAGTGGAGCGAAATGAATCTCACTTGGCTGGGGGCCGGGGGCCGCCAAGGGCCCTTGGTGGGCCCTTCGCCCCTGGAAGCCACGGATATTTGATGAATTATGGCGAATTTTTATTACTTATTTGATAGGCATCGAGTTAATATAATATGACTTTATGTAGTCTATGCTTTCTAATGTTGAAATCAGCTTCCAAAACCAAAACATTTTGAATAAAGCAAGAAACAAAGAGTATGCAATGTAACCATCTAATTTATTTTCAAATCCTCATTCTTGAAAGTGAAATTCTGTATTTTGGAAATTTGCATGAAATATGTCAACCACGCTGTCATTTTCGAGGTTGCTTCACCTATCACGATGTATTCCAACCATCATGAGGCTATCTAAATGAGCATTTGTCATAACAGAACGCAAATTATTTTTAATTAGTCTCATTGAATTATTATTATTATTATTATTATTATTATTATTATTATTATTATTATTATTGTTATTGATGTTATTTTTATTGTTGTTGTTGTTGTGATGAAAGGTTAACACAAACAATATGGTGGCTAAACGAATATTACATGTAAATATTTTTTTTTTATTTGTTTGTTCTCCGACAAAATTTATCGTCTTCCCCGACGGAGGGGCTATGCTTCCCCGACGGGGGGGGGGTGCTATAGCCCCCCCCCCATCCCCTCTGGCACCACCACTGGGTAGGACCAGAACGTAATGACATCACTAACAATTAATCTGCGCATGCAAAAAATGAGTATTCGTTGTCGTACTTTCTGCTAGATTCAGGACACAGTTTGGACAGAACCTCGGTGTGCAGATCGGTCACCATGAGTGAAACCGTTCTAGGGTCACGTCGTCCCTCTTTAAGAAAATACATGACAAATTCAATAAAAATACAGATAAATAGACCTATGAGGCCCGTACGGAGGATTTTTATTGGGTGGGTGACGTGTGTGTGTGAATTTGTAGAGATTTGAAGAAATTGGCTGGAGACGCCTAGGGCCCCGACGGGGATCAAACCAGGGGAAGAACCTGCTGAGGTCGAGGGAGGGCGTTCAAATTGTTTATTTATCGTGTCTGAACGTGCAATGTCAATTTGCGATCCAGGGGTTCTAAATAGAGGGGGCTTAGGGAAGAAATTTATAGATGATGATGAGAGCACCTCAGCCCCACCCCACCATGGTTGGGGCTAAGGCAAGACAATTTATGATTATGTCTAGATGGCCGGAAATGGCACTCTCAGACTCCTGTAAGTTTGAATAATAGGCCTAGGCCTATTCTTTTTTTTTTTTTTTTTTCCAAATTGTTGTTTTGTTTTTTTTTTAATTATAATTTTGAAACATTTAGGGGGCCTGGGCCGTCTGTCTCCTCCCCCGTGTTTGAATCCACCACCGAATATGATTTGGGGCAAACATTATTCAGTGCTTTTATTTCCCAATGTACTGTGGTAGAGTCTGTCTAGACTTTATATAGGTCTAAGGATGCATAAATAGAGCCAATAAAGAAACTTCACTATACAAAATGAAATCCATCTAATTAAACCAGTGCGAAAATGTCATTTTTTCAACTTAATAACAGTAATTAATATAACATTCCAAGTAATAATTATGATTTAAAAATGTGAAGATTTTAAAATACAACCTAAGTCGAGTAAATTAAATTCCACATTTTAGGCCTGAAAAGTTATAATTACACATAGGCCTAGGGCCTGAAAAAGTGAAATGTTAAATATATTTAATTGTGACATTTGTGGAATAAACAATTTAAATTGAAAATTGAAATTGAAATTCCTACATATTGAACATACACATATCCTAGATTTGAAACATGGTATTTTTAATTAGGATTATTCAGCATGAGTTAAAAACATTCTATCAAAACGACAAGTAGAGTTTTAAAGAATTGTATATCGTACCAAAAACCGCAAATGGGCATTTTCAGTCTGAAGAAAGTTAATATACTCGTCTCGTCTTTGTGTTAATTTATATATTTTAAATCCAATTTGTGGATTCTGCTCTGAAACGTACATGCGAGTGAGAGGTTTTAACTTACCCTGGTAATTGGAGGAGGTTCGTATGCACCCAGCCCCCACCCCACCCCCCGGGTAGAATATATATGAAAGGGCAAAAATGAACTCTAGTCGGGGAAACTTATTCAAAGCTAAATTATCATGTTCAAGAACAAGCTACCTCATTATTCATTTATGATGGTATCTTTAAAATATGAATATCCCGGATAGCCTGTCTGTGGTGTAAAGTATCGGGCTGATTTAGCGCCCTCAATAGTAGCTACCGTGGTAACGATGACGTCACGGGGAAGCTTTCAGAGCAAGCGATTCTGACGCACGACGGGATAAGACACAACATTGAACAGCAGCAAAGTGAGTGTTTGGCCAAAAACGAATGTTTAATGCACTGTATAAGTTGGGTTTTATCTTTGAAAGTTTTATTTGTTTAAATTTTATTAGAACCGGGAATTGTTAAAGGTAATACAACTATTAACTAACCTATACAACTAGCTGGGCTAGCTTATCTACCTGCCTAGCTAGAGTTAGAGAGGCCTAGCCTAGTTTGTTAGACCCGGGCCTAGCCTAGGCCTACCCTAGACCCCCTAGCAGAGGCCCTAGCCTAGGCCTGGTATATGGTCGATGCGGCCGCCAGTCTATATAAACAGTAATGTGTATGGAACCCCAGGCGTGCAGTGCCCAGTATGTGTGTGGTGGACAATACACTACACGAGAGTGAGATATGAACACAAGCCATTCTTTAGGCCTGTAGAGAAATAAAAAAAAAGCAAATGCATAGCAAAGACATAACCTATGGCCTAGGCAATTATTATAATATTGCAACAATATAGAGTAGTTAGATATGTAGTCTTTCTTCTATGCATCAATGAATCGGTAGGCCTGAAGAACACCCTTTCGTACATAAATTATTACGACGTTGAAACAAAAACAGTGTGTATATTTTTTAATTTTATTTCATTTAACTGAAAATATCTGAAAATACGAGTACAATGTAAACACTTATTGGAATTTATCAGTGATCAGTCTCTCTTTATTATTATTATATTTGTCTTACATTTTTTTCTTAGTAAAGAAGGTAAATATATTGACGAGTTAGTCACAGTATGCATACGGCTAGTCTAGGCCTAGGCCTTGTTAGGTTACCTAGTAGGGTATTCAATTTCAATTAGGCTTTACCTATTTATTCATTCAGTGGGGAAAAGAAAAAGAAACAAGATAATGGATACTGATGCTGCTACCCTCTTTATATTGTAAGTTTATTCATTTTTCTATATTTTTTTTCTTTTCTTTCAGAATTGACTCAAGATGTGGTGGTATACATTTGCTCATGGTGTTTACCACCTAGTGCGCTGGTTCCCAAAGAGTAACCGACTTAAAATGTAAGTTTTAGGAACATACACTGAATATTCTAATAATATATTCTGGCCTCATAGTCAGGCTTATAGACAGTGAAATGAACTTGATTTGGCTGCCATTACTTTGTCTATTTTTTTAAAAATAAATGACACTTTTTTTTATTATTTCTTTCAGACGGATTGTACTCATGCTTTTCTCCTTTGGGTTATTATTTCCACAGATATTTGTATTATCAAGGTGATTATTATAATTAACCAATATAAATTAAATTGTATTACTCAAAATTAAACATTTTGCAGTTAAATGTAAATGTTTACTCACATTCATTATGTTTTCATTTTGATTATTTCTAAGTAAAAAAATATGTTAAGTAAAAATAGTCAAATCTGATGTAAAATTATTATTTAAAATTTGTGGAGGGCTATTGAATTGCGTATTTTTAATGTTCATTTCTTATGTAGTTTTGTCGAAATTGAATAAATCACATCAAATCAAATATAATTTAATATATAAGTGGAAAACATATTAATATTGTATCACTTTTAAATTACATTTTTTTTAACCTGGTTGGGATCAATAAGTCAGTGATGGTACTTATGTGTTGTACTGTATTTCCACAATTACACTGTAATTAAGGGGCATTTATTTGAGCATTATGCATATCCACATTACACACAAAAAAAAAAATAAATGCCTCAAACAAACACCTCCCTTGAATAAACGCTCCCTCGAAAACCCTTATCAACAATAAACGTCCCAGGGCATTTATTCAAATAAATATGATACAGGGCTGTATATAAAAATAGAATATTATGAATATTATTCACAATTTTTGTGCTAAACTGCATTCAAACATTAAACTATAAAACTGTTATTGTTTCGCTGTATTCATTTTTTAGAGAACATACAACCAGGTACTGTGGACAGCATCTCTTTGATTTCCTGATCGTTTCTATTGTTTTCACCTTCTTCATGATAGGTATGTGCTTTGGTCATTCAATTGAAATATTGCTAATGAGCTCGAAATATTGTATGATGTTGATGATGACGGTGACTATGGGAGCAACGTCAACAAAAATGATAAAATGTGCATTTATAATGTCTCCATCAAAGATGGACATGCCGCAAAACAATTGACTAGAAAAATAATAGTGTGGATGTAAATTCTATGAAGAAAAGAAATATAGAGATGGGGAGAATAGTTGTACTCTGAGAGGAAGAATTCAGCAGCACACTGTAGGCCTATGCACTGTAAACTAAAATGATATGATAGTTGTGACAAGCCTGGTGCATGATAATGAGAATGATTTTGATTTTTTTTAGAATGACTGTTGATAATGGTTTTAATGACGATGATAAATATTAAAGTATTTTATTTTCTTGTACAGGATTCAGCTTTATTTTTTCAATAATGGATCCAGTTCCCTGGGAAGTGAAGCTGGCTTTTCACATCTTTGGTTTTATAACCTTCGTCATTGGGTTGACCATCACTGTATTTACATCACTAGCAATTGATTGTGTAAGTATATATATAAAATCATCTATTTCAGTTACTAAATTTTGTTGTTGCATTCATTTCAGTGTTTTTAATCCAAATTTCTACAATGAAATGCATATCGGTATATATTATGATTGATGGCATTGACCTCTAAAATTTAGGGTAGAGAAAATTTTTTATTTACCATGAAATTTCACGAAATGACCTTTCAACTTTTGTTTCCCTTCCGCAGAAAAATAATACAGTAGAGCTTTACTACCTGTCAGTTTCTGCTGCTGTTCTAACTGTTGCTTCGTTTGGTATGTTTTAATTAATTTTATTTCATTGACGGAAGAGAGGCTTAAAATGTCAATTTCTCTCATGATTTAAATAATTATTTTACTTTATCAAACCTCCTATGATACCAGACAATTCTTAATAACTTGATAAAAATATTTCATTTATCTTCCAATTTCAGCATTTTTGGCAGTGATGATCCCATTCTGGCTTCTTAATTACTTCTTCCCAAATTCAGTTTTGAATCGTAAAGAGCGAACTGGTGTCTGCTACGAGCCGACAACATGCTGTTCATGTCTGTGGCACATTTGATTCAAGATCCACAAGAAAAAGTGTTTGAGAGTGCTCCCCCATATGTTCACATGAGCTTATAATGCATTCATCCTGTGATAGTTGGATGTATGAACATCCTGATTTCAAGTTCAGGGTTGGAAGAAATTGTCTCACTTAAATTAAGACGCTATTCGTATTGACGAATGAAGATTATATTTTATAAACTTGTAATATGTAAGAATGAGACCAAATCTGTTTTGTTTATTCAATTCCTGATGTAAAGCAGGTAAGAATGTGGCTCAGAGAATTCTGTGAAATATAATCTCTTTATTGCGCTCAGTGCGCCCCATACCAAATTTAATTGGCGTACCATACTCTATATGTATTTTTCCTGATTATCCCGTCCTGTTGGTGGCGCTGACCAGAATGAGTCAAACATACCGTAGGAGGCGTGTGGCAATAATATGCGCTATATACATCACTGTAATATTACCAGTTATCCTCTTGTGATGCCATATTGGATTACAGTATTCCAAGGTTGTCTATTATGGATGTGCCAATAATGTTATTAAAATTTATACAGTTTGGTGTTATACCGTTATAAAAGTGCGTACTCGCACAAAACACCATGTTTGAATTATCACACTGTGGAATCATTAACAGCCAGCTAAATGTGAATATCTTCGCCTTGTTCTGATATTTTATTGCTAATGAACTTCATTTTGCAAATTAAGTGTATAAACCAAGTAAATATAATTACCGAAAGTTAATCAAATAGTTGTGATAATGTTGAACCAGGGAGTTGTTATTTAAAGAAGAAATGCATCTGTAGTGGATCCAGGAATTTGAAAAAGAGAGGGCCAGGGAGGGATTTAGACAGATGGCAAGAAAATTTACGATTATGTCTCCTTTACATGGTCTGAAATTACAACATTACACTATATAATATTCAAACAAATCCATTTGTTCCCATTACCGCCCGCTTGGATACTCTAAATAAACATCTCAAAAAAGCCTGGAAACTGTCGAGGTATACTGTAATGTTTAAAGTGAGTCCTCAGAAATATGCCTTCTATTTATTATTGTAGCTAACGGTATTATTTTAATTTATTTCTCGTAAAAAAATTTATAAAATTATTCACTTGTACAGTCGAATTATGAAGTATTTTAATATGAGAATGTTTTTATATTTACTCTACAGACAACGTGGTATCAATATAAGTTAAAAAACGATTATAAAACTAGGTTTTGTACTGGTTGAGAAATAAAGATAGTCTTGGAAAAAATGCTTCTTTTATTTTGGGGTTCTGGCTAAGTTTTAGATCTCAAAAACACATTGTTTAGTATGCCCAGACAGTGATTTGCCTCTTTTCATCAAACATATATGAACAATATAATTTTTACCACCATCAGCATTACCGTCACCATTATCTTTTCAGTATCATTATCGCAATAAAAATATTAAGGGGCTCGTGGGTTTTTTCCGAAGTTGTAATATTGTATTGGTGAGACACTTCTGAGCTGTTTACATATATAAAATAGAACTTGAATGATATGAGTTTTCTTATAACTAATTACCAAATGATAAAAAGTACTGAATGTCAAATAATCGGCCTATGCTAATTCACTGTTTTGTTTTTTTTTTTGTTTTTTTGAACAGAATAAACTCACCTTTAACTTAAGCATCGTATGAAAATTACTGTATAAATTACCCTGTCTGGACTCTGCGGATAGGCAATTATTCGCCTGATGACGACGATTGAAGCAACTAATCGAAACGTCCAGACTCTCAACATAAACGTAAACAACAGTTCTTTCCAGAACTACCTACGTGGTGTACGGCAAGCATTCAATATCATTACTTCGCCATTTAATACAATCGCTTCACGCTATCGACGACAGCTTTCGGTGATGCTGATTGCGTCGGTGACTGCTACGCAAATATACAACGTGTGCACTGAAAACACCGTAGTGTAGCGATTCTAAGAAATCAGGCTTATTCGTCGACATTCAGTGCAGATGGTAAGCTTTGCACCGCGGTCCCTGGGGTAGCGATTTATACATTTTACATTTTTACAAGCATTATAAATGAATATCGGTACTTAACATTACCGGCAGCCTGTCCATTTAGTAATGCCTACGCGTGGTATTAAAACACAGTAAATAAGAGCTTATATTATGTTGTTACAATATCAAGAACCATAGACGAGTGGTTGTATATTTTTTGTTAGAATAAAATACTGTACAACACAATGACGTCATGTTATACTGTAATATTATAAATATTCAAATTTTGCTACTTTCTAAGAACTTGTCGTAGACTAATTTTGCGGCTACTGTATCCATTACGGCGATGCCTGAAAATGAATTATTAAAATTTGATTAATTATTTATAATTAATAATATCATGAAATGTACACACTCGAAAATTATAGGCCCTAATTAAATGAAATAATAAATTTATTTATCTGTATGTCTTTCAATCAATCGATTGATTAATTTATCAATTCAATAAATTAAACAATCGGACATCAAACAAATTAATTACTAAATTTAAATTAATACCAAATATAACGTATTTTTATATGAGAACATTGCACTTTCTCAAAATTCTATTATTATTTTCCTAACATTTTATATTGCTATCCTACAGTTCACAATAGGTCAATAGGTCAATGAAATATTACCCAATGATTTGAAAATGGTTGTTTCGTCAGCTCTTGCCCTTTTATTGCCATTCACTACTTCTCCAATTTCGGCGTAAATAGTGCACTGTAATTAAGAAAGTTGCATTGCCAATTAAGCTCCTAAATGCATATTGCAGTGTATAGCAAAATACAGATCAGTGTTTGATTATACCTCCTTGGTTTGACTTCGTGGTTATCATGGTTCGTGCGAAGAATTACGAAGGTCATTAAGTCCTATCCAGACTGTGTTTGACAAACACATTTCACATACCTAAATATGGTCATGATGACATCACAATGACCGTATTTAGGTACATCATGGCTAGGCCTATATATGGGCATACAATAGTGTTTTGTCAAAGAAAATTCGATAACTGGACGGAGCTTAAGATTCCAGGTTCAATTCCTTCGCTGTTCCTCATTGTGTTTCAGGTGCTGAAGAACCAGGGAGATGTAGAATCTCCCTGGCAGAACTAACTACAATTTATAGTTAAACCATGGACCTATTAATAGGTCCATGGTTAAACTTTATTTATCACGAGAAATTACTAGACATTGTACCTTAGATAAGATGATATCGCCAGACTCTTTCAGAGCCCCTTCAAGACTGTCAACGTAAACGGCCGAATTGCGCATGAGCTCTGGGTCGATTTCTTGCATGTGAGGCCTGATAGCTCCGACACCTATAAGATACTTAATACTATCATCTTCACCCAACCGTGTAAGCGCCAGTAATATACTTAACAGACAAATATACACAATATGCTCTACATTTCAAACTATGTCTTTTTTATAGTGAAGTTGTTTTGATGGTTAGAAAAAAAAATCCTGAACTTTGAAAGGTTGAATTCCCGTCCCTGGAATGATTATTATGCAATATATATTTATTCAGGATGGATACATACACAATTAAAGTAAATGTACAATAATAAAATCAACAGAGCATCTACATTTGATCTACCATATGGTCTGCATTAAAAAAAACCAATGAAATATCAATGAAAGATAAAATTATTACGGTAAAACAAGGACAAAAAATACAACATGGAAAGGAATTCAATAAAAAAGATGTCTTAAAGTTTGTTTTAAAATTTGATTAAGATCGTAAAGTGTATTAATCAATCGACAGAACTATAAAAATAAGTTAAAAATCAAAATAAATTGCCTTCAATCGGATTCGAACTACAACGGAAGCCTCATGTCCGACGTTATATAAATGTTGCATTTACATCACATTCAAATTGTTTATATAATTAGAACACTAGTCAGTCAGTTCAAACCAACACTTACTCGCCCCATTCAACTTACCAGAAATCTGAACCAACTTTAGTCAGTTCAACTGAACGTAAAAAACCAAGTAACCCAAACCCAACTTCGCCCAACCTGGACGGATTTTCCTACTCAAGCCAAACTCTGACCACTCTCACCAATAAATAAGATGCATCACTGAAAAGATAAGCTAAATCTTAAACCTAAATAGCTTGAGCTTTCAGACAATCTATAGAATATTTATTATAATAAATTAATATTATATTTTATCACCATACTAACCTTTGTTGCAACCGCAGACATAGCAGCAGTCCTGAACAACGTAATGGTCTCACCCGCTATCAGCTAAAACAATAAAAATATACTATTTACACATATGTGAGAACATTGAGTGTATAATTTCACACTATACTAAATTGCTTAATTTTATTACAGTTAGACATACCAACAAGCTTGTACGAATACCCGTGAATACTTTTTAGAAGAATCCCATTCACGTACAAATTTATTCAGGTTTTGTTCCGTCTCACCGGTCCCGGTGATGCATTTTGCAGAGCATTAAGTAATGAATAAGCAAGCTATTAATAATTATTTCATGTTTTAAAGGTTTAAACGAGAAAACAAAAATACGTAACAAGCGTTGATGCTCTATAACGAACGAAGTTTACATAGGAAGTACATACAGTATTGTTTTTGTCTAAATGGACTTCAGACAGTATGTGCAGTACCTTTACGTTTACGTTTACGTAGGGTACATCCTGCCATAAGAGAAAATTTTCTCTATGATCTTACAAAGGACCTAATACAGCATATTTTCAGTATCGGATCCAGATTATTTTCTAGTGCCAATCAATCAATGAGCTATGATCTGGGGTGAGGGATATTGTACCGGTATACAATGAAGAGGGCAGGGTGTTATCTTAACTATTGGTGAGGACATGTCACTAGCAGCTTCAGATGGGGGCAATGATATGATACAATCAATCATTCAATCAATCTTTATTTTCCATCGTCAATAAAATAACAAACTAAGATGGAGGAAATACAACAAAGGCAAGGCCTGACAATGTGTTGTATCACCTTAACAAAAAGACAATCATAATATAGAATATTAAAAACATTAAAAATACACAAAAATCAAAACAAATTACATTACGGCAGATACAGAGAAATAAATGTTGCCAAAATGAACAAGTAATCGTTATTTAAGTCACAATATTGAAGTTAACTTGCATTAAGAGATTGGATGTGCTTATAAATCTGTGTTTTAAAATGATTGACACTGTAAGATACGTAAATTAAGCTTGGCTAATTAAATCATTTTGCCTGCTGCTGTGGATTGGGGCAGTGGCGTATCTAGCAGTATTAAAATGGAGGGGGCTGGTGGGGGGGGGGCGACCAAAATATGAGGGGGCGTTGAATTTATTTTCGCTGGCCACGCCCACTGAAAAATATTGCTTCTTAGATTCCCGAATACACGTAAACCGAGACAGCATAAGCATAAGCCTAGCCTAATTTTTTTTGCTTCGAAGTTTTCGAATAGGGGAGTGACTGGGGGTGGGGGCGCAAGATTTTTGTGGGGGCGTGCGCTCCCCACGCCCCTGGATACGCCACTGGCCCCTCCTTCGCCGCCATGGATCCGCCATTTATTTTAAAATACAATAGATCAACTTACAGCTTTCATAGCCCCGTCTGGTGGAAGGTACAGCAGGATCATTGCCCGCCGGGATTGTAAGCCTTCTTTTCGAAAGTTGGTGAAGACCTTTGTAGTCATACAGCCATCATAGTAACAAGGCATAATAATACCCCAGCTGGAAAAGTATGTAGTAATAACATAGCAATTAATAATGAGGATGATGAGGATGATAATAATAATAAATAATAATAATAAGAATAATAATAATAATAATTATTATTATTATTATTATTATTATTATTATTATTATTATTATTATTATTATTATCATCATCATCATCAATATTGTCACATTATTTAATAATAATAATAATAATAAATAAATAAATAATAATAATAATAATAATAATAATAATTATTATTATTATTATCATCATCATCAATATTACCTACTAAATAAAGTAATAATAATAATAATAATAATAATAATAATAATAATAATAATAATAATAATAATAATAATAATAATAATAATAATAGTGTAGTTTTATATAGCGCACATATCCATCTAATATAAAATGCTCAGGGCGCTTGATATGTGAACTAGGAAAATGACTTTCTTCGCCCCTAAGGGTCCCTTCGTGTCTGTGCTCCCCGGTAACCCGGTACCAGCAACTCTCGTCGTCCACCACAGGGACTGTCTGTTCCAGTACACTGGGGTATCTCCTGTCACAATATTTAGGATATTTCATTCTACTTTGCAGCACTGCTTACTGAATCGTGAACTAATGAATATGCATATTTGTATGACTCAAGTTAAAACGGTCTGTGAATGGAAATAATTTACATGAATATTAATGATGTTAAGGCAAAGTGGCAGTGTATGATTCGTGCATTTAAGTGGAGTGTAAAAATATGCAAATGTGTTAAAAAGGGTTAGTTTAAAGGTATCTTGCCAGGAGTTGAAGATAAAATATCTTAAAGTAAATATGTGGACTGAGAAGTGTCGGTTAAAGGACATATCAGTCGAGGCACATTTTAAGATAAAAGTACAAGGCTTATATGTAAAAGCTTAAAGTAATTATACGCGAGTGATAGATGGAGTAAGAGAGCTTCACAGTATTTTTGAATCAAGAAATGAAGTAAAGAATTGACCGTGAGTATTGTTAATAGTTGATAAATCAGAATATCTACCTATTGGCATATATATGGTGGTAGTACTAATTGTGCATGTATTTTGATATGTTATATGAATACTTAAATTCAATATATATACATATATAAATATATGCTATGTATAATATGTTAAAGCGAATATTGATAGAAAAGGAATAGCATTAGCATACCATTCTATATAAATGTTGTATTCATTTATAGATGGTCGGAGGAGGTAGAGCCAAGTAGCCTATACTCAAGACTTATGTACCAAATATACTAAAGTGATATTGCAGACTGAGGGGAAAAGCCCTAGCAGTTAGCAAGACTTAGTAGATGATCCGTACATCGAATGCATTATTACAGTGATAACGATTCTGGGAGGTAGCACAACACTTTGTCATTGGATATACAAAACGAACTTTTATTTAATTAAAACCAGTTGATTTTATATATATTTTGTTTCTGTGTCTTATGTCTAGTCAATGTCGTGACATCTCCCTTCTCGTCTCAAAGGATGTACTGGGTTCTTTATAGTAATTTATAGTTCTTTATAATAATAATAATAATAATAATAATAATAATAATAATAATAATAATAATAATAATAATAAAAATTAAAATTAAAAAAAAAATAATAATAATAATAATAACAGTAATATTTATAACAGCTTACAGATTTCATATTAATAACATTAATAATAACATTAATTACCCATTGTATTCCTGGACCGGCAACAAACTTCTAACCGGTTGAACCACGCCCCCGTCATCCCCCATTGACAATTTACCAAATGCTGTTTCAATTAATGGTAATAGTTCTTCATAATTAATCAATTGTTCAACTTCATGTTCCGAGATGTTTGAATAACTATCCATTTATCTGAAATAAAATTTAAAAGATTTCGAATTAGTACTAGAAATTGTAAACCCAATGAAAAATATAATGTGGCAATTGAGTATAACAGTTTTAACGGATAAAATTATTCATATCTGTATTAATAATGTGATACATATGTGTGCACATTAGGCCTAAGCCACGTCAATTGACATTTTCGGCTTGTCAAGCAAACTTAACAATTGACCAATTAGAAAAGGCAAGGAATACGCCCTTCTTCCACAAACATGTTTACGTACGTATCATGTTGGCGTTTTACAATTCCAATAATAAGATGGAACTTAGCGGACAGGTCCATTGGCAACGAAAACTGATATATCAACCATCGTCGCGCAATCAACAGCTCCCTATCAATTACGATACAACGGTAAAATTGTATAAACTTTGTTTACTATTCAATATTAACATAAATTCTTGGTCTGCAATATTCGTGACCGTAGTAAATAAGTTCACCTCTTTATTATTCGTTAATGTGTGACGTGTGCCGGTACTGTAAAGTAATAAATAAAATCCAGGTCAGACCACAACAAATGCCATAATGCCACTCCTCATAAAAAGTTAAACAGACCATATCAATTTAATATTTCAAAAAAAATGTTCATAAGTCCTACAGATTATACAGTATTATCATCACGGATATTACTATTTGAAATTACTCTTTTAGAGTGGAAGTTTTTAGAGTGTCATAGAAGAACACCTCCCTGGTAAACAGTTTTTGTTATTACAAAATTTTATTTATTTTCCTTATTTCTATTACACAGATTGAGCCCATGTTATAAATTTTTTATATACAAAGGAGCAATTTTGGTCAGCTCCCACTCACTGAGAAACAATTGGTGATTCTCGATCTGTGTAGCCTAAGATCTGTGTCAATCCTTCTGGAGTGCAAGTCCTCGTCTACCGGGAGTCATGACCACCACCGTCCAGAATATCGCCTGGCGATGGACCACCTTCCCTACTCTGTCAGAGTACGACGCCCTCCTCATATTTAGTATCATACAGCGTCGTCTTCGGCTAGCCCAACATATTCTCCATCTCAACGATAATAATAACAGTGATAGTAATAATAAAAATAACAACTGAAAAGTCAAGATTATGGAATTATTGTCAACAAAAAGGTTTCTGACAACATAAGTTTGGTACATAAACGCCGCATACGGTAATATATTTATATTATGAGAAATCTATTTTTAAAACGCTATATAAAAATTGTCTCATAAAAGATTATTATAATATTATATTAAATAAGATAGATTATCAAATGATATAACCTAGATGTGATAACATTAGTTCAGTATATATGGCGTATATCTATTTAACATTTGAAAGTCACAAACTGCGCCGCCGACGCACATCAGCCGAGAAAGCAACGACAAACAGGGGAGTTCCTTCCGAGCCGGGAGCCCTGGTTCGATAGTATAGTCGGGGCTTCCACATATAAATTAGCCGACCAGGCTAACTAACCCTCTAAATAATACAGATAACATATTACTCGTTTACTGAAATAATCAATTCAATAATAAATAGGGAGTTTTCTATATACGACGTTAACTTTAACGTTAGTACCCAACATGTATCGTGATAGCTCCGCCCCTTTTGTAAACAAATCGAAATACGCATGCGCAAACCCGTAACTAACGTACGTCGAGCACGTAAAATCCTGAAATTAACGTACTCCACATACAACGCGAGATGAATAAATTATGACGTACTCCGTTAAAGTTTAGGTTAACGTCGTGCATCGAAAATTTCTCGCTGAACACCCGGTATTTCTGAATCTATGGATTTCGGGTTAATATCGAACCTTAGTTTGTCAACTTGATTACATATTGACATCAGGATGGTACTATAGATTACTTTAGTAAAAGAGTAATGTTTCGGACCCGGAATATTGATTTTTAATGTATTATACAGATACAGATAACAAATACAGATCCGTATTGTCATGAAAACACATACATCGAACTTATACTAAATTATTAGTATAACGATTTTGCTCCCGCAGAACACTCTGATTCAGTATTTCTGAATCTAGCTTTCCGGGGCTTGAATAATGATTAGGCCTACTTTATGAAAATAAAAATGATGTACTTAAATACTGTAATTTAAAAAGAAAGAGCCACCGTAGGCCTTATATTTAGCGTTTGTGTTAGCGTTACAAGGACATCTTCTTACCGATAACAGTGACTCAAGAATACATTAGGACTATACAAATAGGCCATCACAAGAGAGAAAAACAATTAGGAGTACTTTCACTCTCTAGCTGTAGGCTACTACAGTGTCACTTGGTTTTTATAAGGGTATTTAATTATGTGCTGGTGGATCGTTACCGATTACTGTACCGATTACTTATTAGCAGATTTTTTTTAAATTATTGTTTATTCAATTTTTGAAATACTGTAACTCTTTCGACTTTCGTGGGTCAGCAGTGTTTCAAACAACAGATTCCAACGTTACCTAACTCTACCTGTATACATTGAAAATATACGTTCAAGGGTACTTCAAAACTCTCACAATCGATGCACAAATTAAATAAACTTAGCCAGTTGCCTGTAGCACTCCCCCAAGCCATGCAACACTGATTTATTGTAAAGGTAAAAAAGAATGGCATATTAACAGTTACTTATGGTAACTGATGGGTCTCTATGCGGTATTCCTGAATATTTATGTAGCTTGCTACTCCCCTAAGGGCCCCATCATCGTCTATGGCAGGGGCTGAATCAGAAAACTGGGGTAAATCCCTCCCACCCCACACCTTCTTGAAGGATCTTTTCCTGGTTCTTGGAGAACGAGAGTTTTGTGTACGTTAAAAAACTTTGCATTTGGCGCTCGTTTTACCAGATAAATAGGTTGATGCTGTTTCCCAAAGTGAATCAGAGGTGACGGAGCAGACTACTGCATATTCTCGTCAGGGATTTCACACATCACTTGTGTAATGTTTAACTTGTTTGGAAATTAAAATCGTTCACCGACGTCAAATTCTACTATGCGTGCGTTTACCGACGACGGTATGAAATGGGAGCAACAATTTTAGTGGTCGGCGAAGTGCAAAACCTTTTTGTAGTCTCACAAATTTGCGAAAAACTTGTTTGAATACTGATTTTGACTGACAACAAGGTGAACCGTACGAGTTCCAATGCCCCGGAGTGTGTGGAAATAAGAGTTCAGATTATGGTTTATCACACAATATTATTATATGCTTCGAAGATAATTGACATTAAATTTTAATTTTCAGCCCTTAATATTTACTGTTTGAGGTTGGCAAATACATACTTTACTGAACTTTCATGGACCCCAACACGTTTTCTCCCCCGGGCCCCACAACTTGTCTTTACGCCTATATGGGCTATTATTATTAATATTATTATTATTCATTTATTTATTATTTATTATTATTATTATTATTATTATTTTTATTATTATATTGTTATTATTATTATATTATATTATAATTATTATTATTAATATTATTGTTGTTATTATTATTATTATTATTGTTATTATTATTATTATTATTATTATTATTATTATTATTATTATTATTATTATTATTATTATTATGAAGCATTATGCAGTTTAGTCTTCGTCAGGGCATGCACAATATTAGTTAATACTGTAAAAAAGTGCCAGAGGTTTTCAGTTCTCCGGCATAACCAACTGAATTGATTCTTATGTGTAAACTTTGAACTATATTGTTCACATTTGTAGCATAGATCTCGTAAAATACCACTGAAAGCTTGGTGTTTTTAGTGTTCAACTTTTTCAATCTTCCCCTTCTGCACAACAGCCGTGTATCCTTTATTCAAAATTATTATCTTTAATCGTGTCCTCAAAGGGGCCCGGAGTGTGTGAAAATAAAAGTTGATTCTATGATTTATTGTCACACAATATAATTATATACGCTTTAATGATATTGACCAGTACAAATGCAGTCTTTTCAGCCTAAATAATCATAAGTTTTGATTAGGTTAGCGAATGCTTTAAAGAACTTCCATGGGTCCAAACACGTTTTCAGCCACTTAGGCCTATGTCACTATATATTTAGTTTATTTAGCTTTTGTAGTGCCACTTAAATAATATCTCTACAATTAGGCACTATTAATCTAATCAAATCTTGCTATTTTGCAAGCCTAATAGTTTCAATCGGGTTCTATTGTATCAGACAAAATGACTGCTTTCTTCCCCGTCCTCCAGGGTTCTCAGACGGGGGTCTGTGACAACTGGATCCTGCTTGCGCCACCAAAGGCATTATATACACTGTAGATTGCTCGTGAGAAGAAAGATCAATATGAAATATCGATCTTCTTACAAAAAGTTCTCTTACTACAATACGTCGATCTATTGGTTGACATAGTTTCTTAAAACTTGACCAAAGTGCATAACAGAAGCAAAATAAATCACAATCATCTTGCTCACTGAATTTACCAAACTTTCTATAAATATTCATATACAAAACAACCTAATTATATAGTCTATGAAACTACGACGCCTGAAATGTCTTTAAACGTTTAAAAACAAAGATAAATTTCGACCTGGTCTTAATAATAATAATAATAATAATAATAATAATAATAATAATAATAATAAATTATAATATTATGTCAAATCAAATCAGATTATTTAATTAAATGAAGGTCCTATTTTGACTAAGAGTTCTACTTACAGTCGTTCAAAGAGATGCACTTAAGACTCGTAATCCGAAAATATGCCGGGTCATACGACTATACCTAACGAATGCAATGTGAATTTGTCAACCGTTGCTGGTCATTTATTGTCTATGGCTTTTTCTGGTTTATTCCATTCTCAAAAAAGGTAAACTTATAACAGTAGAAATGCATCGCTAATACCCTGGTTCTCAATTCAGACCATGGGTCTACCATGGAGGTTTCAAGTGGCCTAAAAAATTGTCATGGATGGAGTTACAATACTCCAATTTCGGTCCTGCGCCGGGCCAACCACAGTCAGCGTATTGGAATTGCGTACGCAACATCTGCAAAAACGGAGTTTATGCGCCCAGCCAGCGCAAACGCTCGGAAATTGAAGGTTGTGTGATCTGAAACTATTATTAGGCCTATATTTTTGTTTATCGTTGAAGATCAGTAAATATGGTTGGCCTATTTATTATAAATACCTGTACTTACAATTGGATCACCACTGCGAATGTTGACGTTTGATTTTAAATGCATTTCAAAAGTTTCTTAAAGTCAGCGTGACCTGTACCGCTCTCTTTGTTTGGTTGTTTACAGTTGCTCTATTGTTGGCAATATATTATACCTTTCTATAAGAACAATAATGGAAACAAGATGCGTAACTTGCCTTTGACTTCCAGACCTCTCTCCGCCATTCTATATGAGAATTTACAGACTACTTGCAATGGCGTAACGCCTATAGCCCCGATATTCAACCCCGCCCGTGGGCCAACTCTAAAAAAAAAAAAAAAAAAAAAGTTCTATGATTTATTCACACAATATAATTATATACTTTAACGATACATTATATTTAATGCAGTCTTTTCAGCCTTAGTATTCACAATGTTCTTGGGTTAGCGTATACAACTTTCATGGGCCTCAAACCCCAACATGTTTCCCCCGGGAACCACGGTACTATATTTAATTTACCTTAGCTTCTTTAAAGTAGTGTCACTTAAATATCGCTAAGTTTTGGTTTCTAAAAGTATGGACACTATATGCAGGCGCGTCGGAAGCTATTTTTCATTTTTCTCGGCCAAGATACACAATCAGCATGCATTAACATGACTTGTTTTTATTAGTTTTGTCTTTGAAGCTCAAAAACGCACTATTCTATTACGCCAATCATTCATACTTTGCTAAAAATATAAATTAACCGTTCATGCTTTATCACTTATATTTGTCACCATGGGATTTCATAAATACTAACGTAGGCCTACGTACAAGCTACATTGCTTTGTCACGCCTTGACGATGTTGATAGCGTATGCCAACGTATGAACAAAATGGCGAATACGCTTGCGTACCTCGAATAAGTTATGGGTAAGTTTCGTATAAGTTAAGAGCACACTGAAGCACGCTGGTATACGTCCTAGTACGGCGAGTTACGTCGAAAATTTTTTGTGCATGCACAAATGTTTTCGACGTATGCCAGTGTCTGGCTCGTATGTACCGCATTCACGGGCCATAAGTTGTAGGCAAGTTAACCAATCGTTGACACAATTCTTGAAAATCGCATGCGAAAAATATGTTCCATAAGGATGATAATGAATCAGGGACGGATTTAGTAGGGGGGGGGGGCGGCCCCGGCCCCACCTCTGGGAGGTAAAAGAAAGAAAAAAAAAATAGAAAAGGGGAAAAAAATTATAGCCCACTATGCCTCAAGTGTTATGTTCGGGCGTCTAGAACACAAAAATTTCGCGAGACCCCTAAGGAGGGTGTGCAGATCGCATCCCCTAGATTGTATTAGGAAAAATATTTGTTATAAAGTATAAATATACAATGCAAGATTAAAACATTAATATTTTAACAGCCTTGCAGATTGTAATTAATCTTGTTTTATATATTTTAAGTGCAATGAAATTTTTGATGATTTGTTTGACTTTTCTACATTGAATATTTTAAGATAATGTTTAATGCTTATCTGAATATTTTATCTCAAAATACCTTTTAAATTAAATTTGCTCATTTATTGATTTTTACAGTTTTCTATATTTCAATATTTATCTTTCGATTTTTTATCTTTTTGAAGAATTTTATATTGTTAAGTATTTGTGTTTTTTTTTTCGTGAAGGGCCTCCACTCGACAGTGAATGATTTTACTTTTGGAGTGTCCTGTCTCTTGTTTTTGTACTTTTGTGATTGCTCTTTGCCGTTTCTGTCTATGTACATTTTAATTGTTTGAGACAAATAAATGAAATGAAATAAAACGTGGAAATCACCCCCTCCCCTTTAAAGGTATGTGGAGGGAGAGTGTCCCCCTTCAAAAATGATCTCCGCCCATGGGTAACTACCGTCAGGTTTATTTAATGCAGTCTTTTCAGCCTTAGTATTCACAATGTTCTTGGGTTAGCGTATACAACTTTCATGGGCCTCAAACCCCAACATGTTTCCCCCGGGAACCACGGTACTATATTTAATTTACCTTAGCTTCTTTAAAGTAGTGTCACTTAAATATCGCTAAGTTTTGGTTTCTAAAAGTATGGACACTATATGCAGGCGCGTCGGAAGCTATTTTTCATTTTTCTCGGCCAAGATACACAATCAGCATGCATTAACATGACTTGTTTTTATTAGTTTTGTCTTTGCAGATCGCATCCCCTAGATTGTATTAGGAAAAATATTTGTTATAAAGTATAAATATACAATGCAAGATTAAAACATTAATATTTTAACAGCCTTGCAGATTGTAATTAATCTTGTTTTATATATTTTAAGTGCAATGAAATTTTTGATGATTTGTTTGACTTTTCTACATTGAATATTTTAAGATAATGTTTAATGCTTATCTGAATATTTTATCTCAAAATACCTTTTAAATTAAATTTGCTCATTTATTGATTTTTACAGTTTTCTATATTTCAATATTTATCTTTCGATTTTTTATCTTTTTGAAGAATTTTATATTGTTAAGTATTTGTGTTTTTCTCGTGAAGGTCCTCCACTCGACAGTGATTGATTTTACTTTTGGAGTGTCTCTTGTTTTTGTACTTTTGTGATTGTTCTTTGCCGTTTCTGTCTATGTACATTTTAATTGTTTGAGACAAATAAATGAAATGAAATAAAATGTGGAAATCACCCCCTCCCCTTTAAAGGTATGTGGAGGGAGAGTGTCCCCCTTCAAAAATGATCTCCGCCCATGGGTAACTACAGCAGGTTCAGGCAGTTCATTGAACCAGGGCCCTCAATCTCCGAGGATCTTTATGGGAAAAATATAATAATTAAAGCAAAGTATATATAAACATCTGGATTGATAGTATTCTTCTATTATATAATACTAATATTACTATGTGCCTAATAATTTAAACTGTTAATAATGTAAAATAATCAATTAAACATGCAGTAGCTACCGGCGGTTCAGTGAACCGGAGGCCCCGAAATTGTACTTTTAGACCACAATATCAGGGATTGGCATCACAATAACTTTGGATCAAAAAATTAATATTTTAGTTCGACGAAGACCTCGTCGTGGCGTCGTACGGCGGGGTGGGGTTTCTAGGCTTTTCGGAAGAGGGAGGACGGGATACTGAATTTCACCTACGTCACTCACGGAATCAATTCCCGTGCGATGCAAAGTAACAATGACTAGATTAAATAACAAATTCCAAACTTGCCATTGATACATTACAACAAAATTGTTTTACATGTTTATTTAAAACCGTCAGATTTCCTTTCTATGGAGTGTTTAGTCCCTATACCTCAATTGGGCACTTTGCAATCCTGTGGTCCCAAGTAATCAGTTTGAACTATTATTGCTGGTTCTGCAGCACGGGACGTCTTTTTGAAAGGATAACAAATTTCTCTTCCTAAAGAAATCATAGATCGCTTCGCTCTCTCGGAGTAAGACTGAATAACATAAACTACTCAAATCAGTGTATCCATGGAGGAATTAGTTTATAATTCCTCCATGGTCTATCTAATTAAAACTGCTGATTTTCCCTGGCTTTTGTCCTTGCACTTTGACCGCGGCCAACGTAGGACCTCAGCTGGACCCCTGTATCCTCCACAAGTTGATTCTCGATTCTGATTGCTATACATTTATTACCTGCTAGATCTGTCCATGGTCGGTTTTTCAATTACTTAATAAAAAAAAATAATAAAAAACTATACCAACAGTCTGTTCAACTGGGATGGCACCAGGTTTTTCCGGCGTCCTCGACCGAGGAAGGGGGGGGGGAGGGGATGTGGCGATGTCCCCAACGAGAGCAAAATGGGCGTGGTCGGGCGTCACTCAAAATCTTCCTAAAGTGGTTCAGGGGGCTAAGGGTACCTGGTTTATTCGAGGGTGGATTTATTCAAAATGGGGCTCTAGACGAGGAGTTTCTTGCGTCGCCGTGCAAATCGAGAACTCCCTATTCTCCTACCTTTACCATAATTACGATACGCTACACAAATATATATTTTTTAAAAACTGTATTGTTCACAATTGTAGCATTAATCTTAAAATACCAGTGAAAGTTGGTGCTATTGTGTTGAATTGTTCTGGAAAGTTTGTAAGTACTGTATGTCTGTTTATCCAGGTAAGTATTCACGAAATAGACATATATATTTTTAAAAAAAACTTTCAACTGTATTGCTCACATTTGTAGGACTGACCTTAAAATACCAGTGAAAGCTTGGCGCTATTGTGTTGAATTGTCCTATCATTCATTCAAAACAATTATCTTTAATCGGGTATTTGCTACCTATTTTAATGCTCTTTGTGGTAGGGTAAATACCCAGTGAACAACTTCGTGTCCTTGATTCAATCTAATTTGTTTTTAAAAAGTTGCTTTTAAATGAGGTATTTACTATATTTCTATACTGTTCTTTGTGCCATGGTTAAATGTGAATAAAGCCTATTTCTAAATAAAATATAGCTACATGCCATTTTGTATAATACTTTATGTTTGATTCAACTTGTGAGACAAATATATATTATAGTTTTAAATGTATATAGTTGTCTCAGGTTCAACTATATTGATGAGGAAGCGTAGGGCGTTTTTGTTTATAAACTTCATGAATACAGAGTTCAGGATTAGGTTACTACACTGTTTTATTATTTATAAAAGAAAAACACTTTGATAAACTAATAATTGCTATTTTTTTTAAATCGTCATTTATTGTGTTGGCATATAAATACAATTCAGAGTAACTTTACTGTAAGCAGGAATGATGTAGTGTTCAAGTGTTGTCACTATTTCCCAAAAGTATTCAATGGTGCCATAATGAACAATGAAGAAATGATAAATTGCGAAGGATTTGGCTTGGTTTTTATAATGTCCAGTTTCCAAGTTCTAAGGTTGCAAAAACAGGAGCTTTTAAATTGGGCGATGGAGGGACAGTGACCCCTGGCACGACGCCTAGCATGCATCAACAAATTCCTGGCCATTCTATGTCCTCAACATAACATAAGATTAGGGCTACACTGCATCCTAGAATTCAGAGAACAAGAACTCGACATCCACGCATGTGCAGCTGATTCTATACGATGTCATTCAATTCTAACTATTACTCAAGGCCAACTTGGCCATCGTCGTACGACGCAGCCCAATGAGATTCATCATCAGGGAGTGTCTTAAGCCGTCATGAGAAATATTAGACATGTTCAATATTCTATGATGCGACTACCTCCAACGCAAACCATCGCGTCTGCGTTCGACTTACACAGACCCGACGAAACAACAAAATGCGTCAGGCCGCATCGTACTGTGCTGTCTGCCTTTACTCTACTCAGTCAGCAAATTACCTTATTGGCAAAATGTCATGTTGATGAATGACAATACAGTAAAAATGTCTAATATCTGTCACATAAGTTGTCACCAAAAAACTTAAATGAAATTGCTTTAGCAAACATTATCCGGATAATTGTGTTTTTTTAATCATATTGAATACTATAACAGACAGACATGTTTACCTTGTAAATTCCATCACATCCTTTTACATTTCTTCCTTGAATTTTTATACTTTTTGTACAAATATGTAAATAATATTTAACATTTTAAATTTGCGTTATTATTTAATTGAACATAAAACTATTAGTTTTGTGTAAACTCCTTCATGTCAAAATTTTCAGCTTGAATAGTGTTACACACTTGTAAAGATCCACCAGTGATGTCAGACTCTCTTGAAATTGTATAAATCGATTTCAATAATAATATAACAACAATTAGTAATAGTGGTTAGTTTTATACGGTGCTTTCACACTCATCCAAGGCCATTGGGAAGAACCAACTACTGCTTCTAAACTCTTTAAAAGTAATGATTGTTTTTAAAATCATCTAGAAGACATGACTGTAGTACAGTATATTCAAGAGCAATAGGTATTTGCTGAAAAAGCTTCGTAACCAATGTGTCAGACTCATAATAATGTATCACAAACTGCCAATTTGATTGTCGTCAATATAAGCATCAGGTTCCATGCGAGTAAAATCACCCTGTAACCTACTATGAACAGATTATTCTCATAGTCGTTGATACATGTACAGGTAGCCAAGATCACGAGGAAGGTTTTCAGATAAAGCTACTTTGTTATCATTATATAAGACCCACCTAAGATATAAAAAAAAAATATATTACAAGATACATTGTATAAGAAAATATACTGTAAGGGTATACAATGTTCATTCCAAAATATGTAAAATATCTTACAGTAGATAGTACTGTGCCACATATATAAAATTACCCCATTTACATGCTAGAATGTTTTAGCTCCAAGAAGCTCTGCCACTGACTGATTCTAGATCCCACGAGGGTACCTAGGCACCCCAAACAAAAAAAAACCATCCCACCCTCTAAAATTTACCTTGAAGCTAAAAACAAACAAGCAAGGTACATGATAATACACTTAAATTATAACACTGTTTCAAAAAGTTACTAACCTTCCATCCTTCTTAATATGACAAACATAGTGACCACATGAAGTGGACGTTCCCATATGACTTATGAAGGCAACAAGTTTGTATTCTGGGAAAGAAAAATTGACAAGAATCTTAATCTATTTAACAAGGCCTGGTATCAGCACCACTGCCAAAGTCAAAATAGCATTTATTGTTTTATTACCAATACTGTTATCAAAAGATAATTGTCTTCATTACATTAAGGTAAGACTTACTTGCTGATCCATCTCTAACCTGAGGATCACCCGATGATGATGCTCCAGCTTCACTGGTCTCCATTGGTTCTGAGTTCAATTCATCCAGGTGACTAAATATCCAATCAGCAGCTCTCTCTACATTATTACTCTGCAATAAGGTACCAAAACCAATGTTACAATAATTAATTCATTTCATCTTTCATTTGTCTCTAATTTGGAGTTCATATAGAAATTTATATATATATATATATAAATCCTTAAAATTGCTGACTGGTATCTGTGTTCCCACCACACTGATATCAGCCTCATTATAATTACACCTCTCTATTAGTTTATTTGTTACTTAATGCTAATACTTACTCCGCCCCCTATTATTTCAGTCCTAACACCATATACATTATATTTTATTTATTTTACTTTATACTTAATCAATATTTTTGTAATAGCCAACATTCAATATTTCGACATTAATTATGTCATCATCAGGAATGATTCCTGATGATGACATAATTAATGTCGAAATATTGAATCCCATTACCAATATTGTTATCAAAAGATAACTGTCTTTATTACATTAAGGTAAGACTTACTTGCTGATCCATCTCTAACCTGAGGATCACCAGATGATGATGCTCCAGCTTCACTGGTCTCCATTGGTTCTGAGTTCAATTCATCCAGGTGACTAAATATCCAATCAGCAGCTCTCTCTACATTATTACTCTGCAATAAGGTACCAAAACCAATGTTACAATAATTAATTCATTTCATCTTTCATTTGTCTCTAATTCGGAGTTCATATAGAAATTTATATATATATATATAAATCCTTAAAATTGCTGACTGGTATCTGTGTTCCCACCACACTGATATCAGCCTCATTATAATTACACCTCTCTATTAGTTTATTTGTTACTTAATGCTAATACTTACTCCGCCCCCTATTATTTCAGTCCTAACACCATATACATTATATTTTATTTATTTTACTTTATACTTAATCAATATTTTTGTAATAGCCAACTTATATTTTGTTTGTCACACATGCTAAAGAAAACCCGAGGACAGGTCGAGATATTCATGTTTTGAATGAATTTTGTGTTTTAAGTCTACCAAGTTGTTGTCATCTCATCTTCTTTTTCAATTGAGTTTTTTCTTTCTAACAAACAGATAGATGGCGGTGAGTATGTAACTTCATTAGTGAGGTAAATATATACACAACCAAAAAATAAATAACAATATTAATTACAGTACATCAGTCACACTACTCTAGTCTGGAATAAACATATCATTCAACCTCATGAAACAGCTATTTAGACCTATCAGGGTCAGGGATGTAGTTGTGGTGAACAGAGCCACCCAGCCTTGAAGATTTCCACCCAGTCTAAAGTTAATTTCATGGCCCTCCACGCACCATTATTAACCTAATTTTCCATCATTAAAATTCACTCTTATTATTTAGAGTTTACCAATGTTATCACCCACTCACCCTTAAAATGTCTATCAACCACCCTTAGTTTTCTACAGCTACTGTACAACCCTGCAGGTTAAGAGTACTAACTCACACCAATTTTTCCATAACCATCATAGTTAACAACTATCGACACTCTTAAATTTGCCTAAACATGGTCATGATGATATCACATCATGACCATGTATAGGCACATCATGACTATATATGGTCATGATGATATCACATCATGACCATATATAGGCACATCATGACCATATATAGGCACATCATGACTATATATGGGCATACAACAGTTAAGAGTGTGTACAAAGCTTAAAATGGTAAGTTTTACTTACAGTAGCTTTGAGTGCTTTGACTGCTTGTTGTTGTGTAAATCCCATTGACTGTATCATCACAATATTCTCATCACTTGGATTAGCACCAGATTCATCCTTTTTCTTTGCCAGTTCAAGTGGAGTAGTAAAGTCTGCAGGGAATTAAGGAAGACAATAGGCTAATGCTCTTACAATCATTGACAGATAACAAAAGTATAACAATAACACTGATTCTCTACACAGCATAGCTAATTATGTGACTGGCTCTGGCACAACCAGTCATTTGTAGGAAAAATTTAAAATTGTGTTTCTGGTTTTTTTTAACAGTGTTTTTTGATGAAAATTGGTTGAGTTATTAATATTTAATTCACTGGATATCAATAATGTAGCTTTTGAGAAAAGTTTCAAAAAAAGATTCCAAAATCAATAGTTTATTATTAAGATTTGTACTTTAAAAATAATTTTAATACACTTTTCAGTTAGACTTAGTGATTGATATTTTGCAGAAATGTTCTTCAATATATCTTCTTTTATAAAATGCAAAAACATAAACATTTTCAACATTTTGATTCTGGAATGTTTTGGGTGCTTGTGTGGGAAATTAGAAATTGCGACAAATGGAGGGTTTTGCCTGTCACATATTACACAATAGATACAAAAAACATACTGTTGTCATTTAAGATGCAAATTCATAAAGCCAAAAGTGAGGAAGGTTGCACAGTCATATCCAATTATTTTATATTTAGTGTTATACATTTTTGTTTTATTCTACACTAATTAAGTGGCAAACTACGCGTTGTTGTTTATTATTTTTATTTTACTTGAACAATATTTTGTGAGGGTGGTCCATCCAGCCAGAGCTGATCAATAGCGACCCTCAATACATATAATAAGAAACAAAATAGAATAACAAAATAATTTTTAAAATTAGCAAAAGAAAAAAAGGAAAAATTTATACAAATGTAAAATTACAATAAAGTAAATGAAACAAAAGAAATTAAATTAAAAATTATATTAATGTAAATAGAATATAAATAATTAAAATCAAAGGAAGCAGAAATAATTATGCGATAATAAATGATAAGTCAAAAATAACAGTTTAAGAAATAAAAAGAAAACAGCAAAAAAAAAAAATTAAATAAAGCTTAAGACACCAAGTTAGGGTAGTAGCTGTAGAAAACTAAGGGTGGTTGATAGAAATTTTAAGGATGGGTGGGTGAGGATAAAAAAGTGAGTTAATAAGGGTGCGTGAAGGGCCATGAAATTTGGTTTAGACCATAACTACATCCCTGCCAAGTGTATGGCCAGCTCAAAGAGAGAGACAAAATAAAGGTTAGGTATTTAAAGATGAACAGTGATTTGTTGTTGACTTTTCAAAAATATAATAAAATAATAAGGATTATTTAAACTTATTTATTTAACTATTTATTGAATATATCTATACAGGACAAAACATATCAGGAGGATGGTAAGCCTGTTTTAAATATGATCCTGTTACCCATACAAAATTAGTATATACAATATATCTACAAATGTAAACAGATTTAACAACAAACATGATACAAGGATATTTACACCATATGAATAGGTCTGAAAAGAACTAGCACGAGTTGAAAATAATTTTAAAAAGATCTTATAATAGTCTCAGTTATTGTTTAATTTTCCACCAATCAGCAGCAAGTCTCACTATCCAAACATATACGTATTTCCCTGTCTGGATTCTCTGCAGATTTTATTCTTCTGAAAACAATTGAAGCAACTCAATCAAAATTTCAAGGCATTCTCAACAAACAACAGTTCTTTTCAGAACTATCTATGTGGTCTACTGCAAGCATTAAATAGATTATAGACAAATAGATTTCCTGAGGTAGTATGACCTCTTACCAGTTTTCCTTTCAGAACTATCCTGTGGTACACCACAAACATTCTCCATTCAAAGAATATTTTATTTTTAAGAATAATAGTTCCTACTTTAGAGTCCAGATAATATAGCACTTAAACTTGTTAAATAATTCTAAAGGTTTGTAAATGAATTAGCCAGCCTACCAGGTTCAGCCATGTGCTCAAGGACCCAGTTCATGGCTGCCTCAGTGCCTTGATTCTTTGTATGGTACACAGCCTTCTTACAACCTTCGTAATCAAACCCCATTGACACTAACTGCATCACCATTGCTTCGTCTATCACAACCTCTGAAACCAACAGATTTTACATGTTCATTATTATTCCTTTTGGATTTGACCCTTACAACTAACTTTAGATAATTAGCTAATTTTAGGTGCCTCATAGAGAAAGCACTTTTAACAGATTCATATAAATACATAGAATTACATATAACCTAACAACCTATAACCTAATAACATACAATTACAATAATAATCTGTGGAATAAATTATATCTTTGAACCTCCTGCCAAGCCCAACAATAGTTGTGGCAAGTCGAATGGCCAAGCCGTAAAGGCAGTTGTGCCACAACTTATAGTCATAATATAGACGCTGGTTCGAACAGCAAGCGCACCAATGGTTCCAATTATGGAACAAGTCTTCTCGGATAAGGACTATATAATTCGTAGGGCAAAGTGTACACAATTTGGCTCATGTGCACTTTAAAGGCCAAGTACATCTTATTAACCATATGTGGGATGTAACAACCTGTTTTACATATGGCCCTGTTTTACGATACAAGATTACAGTATATAAAATATCAAAAAGTTGCATATTAATAAAATTGAAAAGGACTTAATTAAAAATACGATAAAAAGCTTAATCTACATCACAGAATACTGTACACTGTATTTTTGTTAAAACACTGAAAAAGTTAAAATCACACTGTTTTGGAGATGAGTAGGGGGTAACCCTGGTGTACTAGTCTGCACAGCCCCTGTAGTGGACATACAAGAGTAGCTAGAACCAGTTTACCGGGTACCTCAGACATTAGGAGACCCAGGGGAGGAGAAAGTTACTGTATGAGCTAATCCCAACCCCAAATGCTTTCAGACTTTTGGTATACAGTGCTATACAAATCTAACTACATTACATTAGTTGTACATTTATTTCAAACCAGAACAAAAGCATTTGAAGAAGAGTGCTTAAATCATATGATGTTACACATCCATTCTTTTAATCACAAATTTCCCTTTGAGTTTTAGACGACTCTATCAACAAACCTGGTTCTGCCGGCACGTCCCCTTCTGGTAGCTCTACCTCACCTGGTTGTAAACCTTTTCCACGTATTGAGGTCAAATCAAGGTCATCAGGCATATTCACTGATACATCTATTTATATAACACAAATTATAGAACAGATCAAAGTTCTGGTATCTATTTATGGAACACAAACATGATTCTATTTACAGGACAGAAATTATATTTTATTTATAGAATACAATTTATGTTAGTCAAACAATTTCATTTGGTTTTGAAATAGTGTAATGTGATTGGTATTCTTTATAAATAAACCAGTATTTGTTTACCTTTCCAGGACGTTTCTTCTGGCTATCAGCCTGATATCATCAACTGTGACGTTTCGGCTAGTTGTTATTAGAACAATTTATGTTCTATTTATACCACAAATTAAATTATGAACACACTCTTTTTAAGTAAAACCAGGATTTTATTTTCCATAATAGTCTAGCGACACTACAAAATATTTCAGTGACACTATTTTGTGTAATGACCCATAGTTTGAATACCAGGGTCTTACAGGAAACATTTAGAGGTTTAGGGGAGACTTTTTTCATACCTTGTTTTGCGAACTTATTTCTTTAAAGATAGTCAGAGGAGGCCGGAAAAAAATAATAAAATGTTATTTTCTTATTTAGCAAATGGTTTGACCAAGAACATCCATTACTGGCAGGCAGTGGATTCGCTAAACAAGGTATAAAC